ATCGACATGTAAAAAAAAGTCTAAAGATAACTGAAGCAGTATTAATAAAAAAGAAAAAGCCAAGAAACAGTAGCATCAACTATGAACACGGTCACAATGTGTTGACCGTGTTTGCAAAATAAATCTAGATGTATACATAAAAAGATTCATACATTCAGATAAAAGCAAAATCAAAATGCATCCTTGATAATGGCTAAAAGTATCGTCGAAAGCGCTCGGACATACAGCACATTTAGCCAATTTCTACATAAGTCCAGAAAAGAAAAAAAATTAGAAGAACACAAGAAAAATGAAATAAGAAAAATAACCTCACTTCCTTGCCGATCGTTTATAAAGAAATTTGTATAAAAGAGGGATTGCTGCCGAAATACAAAATTATATTTCTCTCTCTTTTTGTGTGTGTGTGTGTGTGTGTGTGTGAATATGTGCGTGTTTGTGCATAAATATGGGTTTCTATATGTTTTTATTCCTCTTTTCATATGTATTTATCCACTCCAGGATATAGACAAATCTAAACTTCTTTATTTTTATATAAGTTAAAATATGATATCTGCTGCCATCACAAGGTACCATTTTATGCCGTAGTATTCAGATTGCTATAAATACCTTACGATATCAAGCAACGACTGTGCATGAAATTTTTTAAGTTATGAAAGACGTTGCAATCCCACTCTCAGTGCAAGAACAGCATGTACCAAAGAAGAAGAAGCCATCAACAACTTTAGATGCTGTCAAGCCGCAGGTTTTACACCAGACTTTTGCTACTCCTAGCTGGATGCATTAACGAAGACTTACCGGGCTTACTGATGTCTCATTTTTATAGGTAACAATACGTATATATATATATATTTATATATATATATATATATATATATATATGTGTGTGTGTGTGTGTGTGTGTGTGTGTAAAATGTATATATATATATATATATATATATATATATGAGTTTATATTTAAAATATGATTCCAAATCGGGACATAAGAAGTCCCATGTTTCAAAACAAGAGCCGAAAACTTCAAATAATTATTTAAATTATTTAAATTAAATTGAGTTCGCTTGAAGATGGAACAGAGCTTATTTTAACTCAATTTAATTTAAATAATTTAAATAATTATATTGACGTTTTCGGCTCTTGTTTTGAAACATGGGACTTCTTATGTCGCGATTTGGAATCATATTTTTAAATAAATAATTATATTTATGTTCTACTTTTGTATCGAGCACTATTTTTTAAAAATAATAACTAAAATACTAAGGGACTTTGGATTATTTACCTAACCAGTTCCTTCCTATTTTCTATATATTTTCACATATTATATATATATGCAATTTTTTTATATGTATCATTTATATATTATACCAGCGCGGTACTTATTGGTAAGCGCTCAATATAAGTGATAGAGCTAACACATTTAGTTGGATTGGTGTGAGTTTGTGATCCTGGGTTTCACGCTATTTGCGATCGTCAGACAAACTGATTAATTTTTAAATTTGGGATTTATATATGGTTGCGTATATCGGTGTTTTATGGAAGTGGGAGGAAAAATTGTCATCGGACGCCATTCATACTTACGCAAATATACATACACGCACGTACATTCATTGACTATACATAACACACACACACACACACACACACACACACACACACACACATTCACTCACCAGAGCTCACAAATAATTTTTCATCATACAAAATGTTTAATATCTAAAAAAAAGACACTAAACTGAGTTTCTTTTTTCCAGGTATTCAGATAAAATGTTTAGCCATATTGACACCATTTGTCGTAAGAATCACTGCAAAACCCTTTCAGTTATTCTACTAGATAGAGAACGGGTTAAAATCGTTTTGTGTCAGCCCCACTATGTCTTCCCCACTGAGCAATGGTGGGAGGAAAAAGATCATTCAGGCCTTCAGTAATGGTACCAACATTCATACTCTGGCTTCCATCTTCAAATTCCATAGAAGAACAATCAAGAGAACAAGTATAAGTTTTAAAAAGATGGAACAGGGAAGAGGAGAACTGGAATCAGTAGATCACAACAGGAAGAGGGATCATGATTTTAACTGAGATCAATTAGAAAAGATCCAACTCAATCCGTAAGATGTTTGGCACGTGAGAGAGGAGGTTCAACTATAACAGTCCAAAGAACAGTGAAAAAAGACTTGAAAATGAAATCGGACGTGAAACCTGTAAGGCACCTTCTTACTCTTAGACAGAAAGTTAGAAATTTAGAGAGGGCGAAAATCATTATGAAAACGGTTGAAAATGATCCTGGAATTGTTATATATATATATATATATATATATATATATATATATATATATATATACTAATTTAAAAATATGGTCACATCGCTGCACATGAAATACCATATTTCAAAAACATAAACTAAAATCTTAAATTTATATTTTTTATAATTAAATTACAATCTCTGGTAGGGTTTCATTTTCAAACGATTTTTTGAATAACTTATTTTGAAAATTACTGAGTTTATAGGCATATACATTCTTGATATTAGTTGCTACGGTTACGGAAAATTCAAACATTTTGATAAGGGGTGGTAGGGTATTAATTTTCATAGACAACCTACGTATCAAAATATGAGATATTTACAAAATCAGGTTAAAGTCAAGGTAGGATAGGTTTGCCTGTTCAACAAAGGATGGCATCCGTTTTTCGCATGTCGTCTAGGTTTTTTCAATGATAAAAATATTTCGGCATTTTTATTTTGCCATTTAATTTATAGTTTTATACACAAAGGTTTTTTTTCGAAAGGGTCGTTTGAATATGAGTACGTTATATATTTAATATTTAAAATCTATTCCTACAATTTTAAGTTATTGTTCCTAATTTTAATTACTAATAGACTATACGTTTTTAAACAAATAAATATATTAGAATTATTTTCTTATTTAAAAATTATTATTCAAATATCAAGTATAAATATGTATGTTTCATTTTTCATCTTTCTTCGTTTTTCACATTTAATCATTATTTAAGGAAAATCTTTGACAGTGTCTGCAAAAAATAGCTATTACATTTCTTTGATTCAGTAAATCTTTAATTTTTCATAAACTTAATTTATAATTTCTCATGTATGCACAAAGGAGATGGGTCGTTTAATTACCCACAAACTCTAGCTTTTCTTATTAATTTCCATTTTACTGTAAGTGTTTTATTGGTTTCCTTTAAGTGCCAGAAATATTTAGATAGCGACGTCTGATTTCGGTATTTAGTAATTTTAAAAGAACTTTGATGTTGGTTCCAACACCGTTTGAATTCATGTCTTGTGCATCCAATGTAGACTTTAACTTTGTCTGGATCCTCAGTAGATGTGATATTGCATTGGTACACTAATGATTCAGAGCGACATTTATTATTAAGAGGACAGTTTCGAGGATTTGTACAATTACACAATTTTTCTTTATCTTCATTCCTTTTTCTTTTACTCTATAATTTTTTTTTTTGATTTTGGTCTAAAAGTTTACTCAAGATATTACCATTATGTTTCCTAATAATCATTTCTAAGTTTTCATTACAACTATAACTTAAAAATTGTACTGAGTTTACTGTCTCCAGGGAAATGTTTAACGATTAATGCGAAGAATTTGTGTGCTAATTTATTTTTTAGCATTGTTTTTATGGGGGTGTATACGAAATGATTTTTCTACTTCAGTTTTTCTATAGTTTCTACTTTCATTTTTTATATAATTGAGTTTTAAGTTTTATTAAGATTAATTTCATATATATATATATATAATATATATATATATATATATATATATATATATATATATTATGAATTTTAATCTCAATCCTTCATGAACTTCTGATCCTTAGCTATGATTAATTAATTAATGGTGAACATGTCGTTTTAGTTTATGTTCGATATCATCACGATTCTTCTGTTAAGCTAGAGAGTAATTGCACATTCTTATTGCTCAAAGTAGAGTTCAATATATATATATATATATATATATATATATATATATATATATATATATATAAAAAAAAAAGAACACATTAAGATATATAATCTGGTGTTCTTATATATATTTTATTTTTACAAAATAGTGCTCTATGTAAATTTACAGAGCATTAATATTATAAATTAATTGATTTAAAATATGATTTTTTAAAACCATATTTTAAATCAATTAATTTATAATATATATATATATATATATATATATATATATTCGCTTTTATTAGTTTTTAATATAAATTATAAGTTAATGCACACACATATATATATATACATACAACATTTATATATGTGTGTGTTTGTGTGTACGCGCACGTGTGTGTGTGTATGGCTAAACTGAGAAAAACACCTTGTTTATTATATCAATACGAATAATTATAGATATAACTCATTGTTTCTCCTTGGTGCACACTGCTGGCGAAGCGGGCCATGCTTACACTGTAACACCAGCATGAAAACTGGGACGATCAAACTCAAACTTCGATCATGTGACCACAATAGTACGAATTATGAGCACGCATGAACATAAGCTAATGTTAGAAACCTAAAGAAAATGTAGATATTTATGGTTGGCTATATATATATATATATATATATATATATATATATATATATATATATATATATATATATATATAATATATATATATATATATATATATATTTAAATATATATATATATATATTTATATAATATATATATATATATATAATATATATATATATATATATATATATATATATATATATATATATATATGTATGTATATATATATATATATATATATATATATATATATATATATATATATATATATATAAGCGTATTTGTGTATGTATTCCTCATGTCTAAATTGAATATTTATTTCAGTGTTCATGACTTTAGGTTATTTTCTGACAAATCAGTTTTCTTAACATTAAAATAAAAATAGCTTCTTTCTATTTCTTTCTTTTTTTTTTTCTTACTTGAGTTTCCTGAAGGTGGGGATTTTTTTTTATTTTCTAAAGACATTCCATATTCGTCCTTTCCCTCTGTTATTTCTATCTTTATTTCCTGCATTTTCTTATCTTTATATTCTTCATTTCTCACTCTTGTCATTAGTTCTCTTACCTCGCTTTTCATTTTTATACTTTTCCTTCTTCCTACGTACTTTCTTAGCTTCTATAAATGCCTTTCTTACTTTCTTTCTTTTAATGCTTTCATTTATCCAATTTTTTCTATCGTCTTTCCATTATTCTTTTGTATTTTTTTTTTTTTGCCGTGTTTCTTTTCTGTCTTTCTTTCTCGACTTTTATTCATTACTTTAGTTTTTTTTCTATTGTCTTTAATCCTTTTTTATTACCTTTCGTTCTTTTTCCCCTTTTATTTCTCTTGTATTTTCTTTTTTTTTTAAATATTTTCTTTTTCTCTTATTAATAGGTTTTCTTTTCCTTATTTCTTTTTTCCGGCTTCTTTTTCTGTCCTTCTTCCTTTTCAGCCTTTCTTTTTTTTTTTGCCGTTCTTTCTTTTTAGACTTTCTTTCTTTTCTACCTTTCTTTCTTTTTCTGCTTTTCTTCCTTTTCAGCCTTTCTTTCTTTTTCTGCCTTTCTTTCTTTTCATCCTTTGTTATTTTCAGCCTTTCTTTCTTTTTCTGCTTTTCTTCCTTTTCAGCCTTTGTTATTTTCAGCCTTTCTTTCTTTTTCTGCCTTTCTTTCTTTTCATCCTTTGTTATTTTCAGCCTTTCTTTCTTTTTCTGCTTTCTTCCTTTTCAGCCTTTGTTATTTTCAGCCTTTCTTTCTTTTTCTGCCTTTCTTTCTTTTCATCCTTTGTTATTTTCAGCCTTTTTTTTTCTTTTCATCCTTTGTTATTTTCATCCTTTCTTTTTCTTTTTCTGCATTTCTTACTTTTCCCGCATTTCTTTCTTTTTCTGATCCGTATTGTCTTTCTCTCTCTTTTTTTGTTCCTTTGCGGACAGCCTTCCTTCTTGGCAAAAACAAAATTCTTACAATCTGCAAGATTTCCCGTGAAGATTTTTCGCACAGTTCTAAAGTAATAAAAATGTCCATTTTTAGTACAGGGTTTTTTCATCGTCTTCATTTCAAAATAAATGTCCACAGGAATATCTGTCGCCTTTAGAATGGATCGTTCAACAGGAAAAATTATATTTATTACATTATTTTTAGGTTTTACACACACACACACACACACACACACACATATATATATATATATATATATATATATATATATATATATATATATATATATATAATCTAGCATTTACCAACTTTTATTCATTTTTAAGGATTTCTTCTTTCTTAGAAATTGCTTCCACAGGATTTCTTATTCTTCCATTCTTTTTGTGCCATTCGCAACATTACAAGAAAACTTCCATCAAGTTCATCCCATTGACCATTGTGCGTCTATTGAGGTGGTTTATTTGTTTAGCGGCATAGCAATTTCTTATTGGTCATTTTATGCCGAAATTTAATTTCCTTGTGAGCATTAATAATTTAATTTACAAATATGTATTGCTGCTAATTATTTTTTCCAAAAATATGTTGCTGGTATTTTTACTATGAAAATGTATATTTATACTTTCATAGTGTTCTGACCCCAGTTCGGGGGTTAACTATTTGCCCATAGTTGGAACCCTAACAGATGCTACCACCTTGGTTTATGGTGGACCTGAGAGAACAACAGCAATTTCGAAGTTGTTAAACGCTCCTCAAAACCTCCCACCCAGCAGAGGCCTTGCTGCCGGACCAGTATGTCTATTCATTTCGGTCTTCATTATTGACTCGACAACTACGTCCTTGTGCCACGTATTACATAGGAAAAAAATTAATATTACTCATACTATTACCCCTCACAGCGTGTCTTATTTTTGTATGTTTTGAAGTATACAGATTGCTAGAAACCTAACCCCGTAAATCGGCGCTAATGTCGAGAATTTGATACTCACTGGGTGCCCTCCTGCTGACGAATTTTATCAGATTAAGCCAAGAAAAACAAATAACTTCCATTTATTCTTCTTTCTAAATGCTGGATTTTTTTTTTAGAGACTGAATTTTTTTTATTTTTTTTTACTATTCTATCCCAGCGCCATTTATACGTAGCTGAGTATTGTTCTCTTTGTGATTAATAATTATTTGTACAAAGGTATCATTACTGTTATTTGAACTCGTGAAATTTTCATTTCATTCGTAGCATTTACTGATGTTCAAGTGTGAATGTCTTCAGCATTTTCAATATCCAAAATGTCAAATTCCATTAATGCTTTCATTGGAGTAATTGATGACTAAATGAGAAAGTGTTGACAGTTAAATTTAGGAACAGCAGAATTTGTTAAATTTAAGAAGGAACTTTAGATGTAATCAAATTTTTGAGTTTAGAGATTAAATATGGCAAGGAACTGTAGAAAATTTAGGAAGGAAAAAAATCAAATTCAAGAAGTAACTCTAGAATGCGTTGAATTTATGAATGAAGTTTAGATGTGATTAAATATGGCAAGGAACTGTAGAATTTGTTAAATTTAGGAAGGAAATGTAGATGTAATCAAATTCAAGAAGTAACTCTAGAATGCGTTGAATTTATAAATGAAGTTTAGATGTGATTAAATATGGCAAGGAACTGTAGAATTTGTTAAATTTAGGAAGGAAATGTAGATGTAATCAAATTTGAGAAGTAACTCTAAAATGTGTTGAATTTATGAATGAAGTTTAGATGTGATTAAATATGGCAAGGAACTGTAGAATTTGTTAAATTTAGAAGGAAATGTGATGTAATCAAATTAAATATGAATTTATAAATGAAATGTGATTAAATATGGCAAGGAATTTGTTAAATTTAGATGTAATCAAATTCAAGAAGTTCTAGATGTAATATAAAAAGTTTAGAGAAGGAACTGTAGAATTTGTTAAATTTAGGAAGGAAATGTAGATGTAATCAAATTTGAGAAGTAACTCTAAAATGTGTTGAATTTATGAATGAAGTTTAGATGTGATTAAATATGGCAAGGAACTGTAGAATTTGTTAAATTTAGGAAGGAAATGTAGATGTAATCAAATTTGAGAAGTAACTCTAAAATGTGTTGAATTTTGAATGAATGAATATGGCAAGGAACTGTAGAATGTAATTAAATTAGATGTAATCAAATTTAAGAAGAAACTCTAGAATGTGTTGAGTTTATAAATGAAGTTTTGATTAAATTGAGGAAGGAACTGTAGATGTAATCAAATTTGTGAGCGAAAAACCGATTTAATTAGATTTAGAGATGGAGTGAAAATCATATTTGTGAAGAAATTACAGGTTTAGTTTTATTTAGAAAGGAACTGAATATTTAATAAAATATGTGTATCTGTAGAATATATTTAAATTCAGTATGAAAATGAAAATCTAATCAAATTTGTGATGAAACTGTAAATTTAAGAAACTGCTATATATGTACTCCTATTTGAGAAGGAACTGCAAATTTGTTTAAATTTAGAAAGGAACTGCAGATATAATCACATTTGTTAGTTACATTTAATAAGAAACTCTAAATATAATCAAATATGTAAGGGAACTGTAGGTTTATTTAATTTTAGAAAGGAATTTAGATTCAGTCAATAAAATTCTACATTTGGATGGGAACTAGACTTAACTCTATTTCTGAGGTTAATGTACATTTAGTTTAGTTAATATATATTTGTGGTGACGGTGAAATTGGCCTATAAGGAAATATTAATCATTTATTGAATGAACAATTAACATTGCTATTGGTTGAAATTGTAACACTTTCTCTTAAACTAGTTTTTTTCATAAAGACGAACTTCTCCCGCCCATTGTATTTATTTTTTTAGTATGTCCTTCCTAAACTTTTGTTTAAGATAGTGTCGTTTTTAATTATCTCGAATTCCTGGATCAAATTTTAATGTTGATATTAAATTCATTAAGAAAGGCGTTATAGCATTTTTCTTTTATTTTATTTTCCTACGTACGTTCAACCTCATTTAAGAGCATCTTCAGGGATGAATTGCTGTGGAGTTATTTCGCAGTGGAGGATTGTATTTGTACTGAGTCAGTCCTAAAATAGGTTCGACGTACAAAACGTTAGGAACTTGGTATTACGCAGAGTAATCTCGTGGTGGTCGCTGATACTCTCGTATTAAACCAACTGTCGTCCGACATCAAAGCTATTTAGCAACTGCCCCACGCAGTCACATGTGGCACAAGGCCGAATTTACTGTGGGGTTCCCGAGCCCGTAGGCTCGGCCAAAAAAATCCCCGTAGACCCCGCATAAACGGGATCAGGTCTGTCTACCTCCCCGGACGAAACTCTGCCCTTCGGCATAGCCTCGTCCGGGTTCCTCTCTGCCAGAAGGCAGAGAGTTCGACTGTCATCCGACATCGACTGTCGTCCGACATCGACTCACTGACCGACTCTTACTACTCCTACTTATTATAGGTGGGAGAGTCTATTAACTATAGAATAGGTGTGTTCCACCATAACAATTGCTAAGACAAAAAATTAAAGTAATCGATAGTTTTGAATTTAGAGAAATATTAATTGACAATACAAGTATACTCCACCATGAAAATCAAAAACAAAACTTCACATTCTTGAAGCTTTCTATATAAGAAAAATACAAGCAACGCTAAATAAATTTAATTATGAGTATAGCAAAAATGTTTTAAAATTTCTTTAATAGCAATATTTTTAAAACACTTAAATTGTATTTTTTTAAATTACAGTGTCTATAACAGCAATGTTTTAAGATACTTAAATTGTAATTTAAAAAAACAAAATTACAATTACATAGGCTAAAGTTACCTCCCTTACATAAACCATTAAAAAAATAATAGCTTTATCAGTTAATTTTTAAATTAATTATAAAGGAGCGCGTTCATACGTCTTATAATTATAACAGAGCGCGTTTCATATATATATATATATATATATATATATATATCTATATATATATATATATGTGTGTGTGTGTGTGTGTGTTGTGTATTTAGGCAGCATTTTTTCATTCATACATGTTTTATTAAATAATATAGACAAGTGTTGTCTATTTAATTTTATGTAAATTCTTTTCATAACGTCTGATAAGCTTAATAACGTTATCATTAAACGAAGAAAGAAAATCACAATATTGATCCATATTTTTTAATACAATCTAAGCTTTCGGCTTACATAAGCCATTATCAATGATGACAATTACTGTACAATATATTAAGCAATACATGGACAAAACAATGATGACAGTCTGTTATTGTTTGCATGGATGATTTCCAAGCAACGATAAACACGTGCATATCATCACATTCTTAAATAATAAATAGACAACACCTGTCTATATTATTTAATGAAACATGTATGTATATATATATATATATATATATATATATATATGTGTGTGTGTGTGTGTGTGTGTGTGTGTGTGTGTGTGTGTGTGTGTAAATGAGTATGCTATCCCTATATCAAATAAATGGTGGCTAGTTGAATATCAAAATGATGGCGAAATTCCTGTCTGACGCTTTTCGTCCTTCAAAAGGAATAAATAATGTTTTTTTTTTTTGTTTGTTTTTTGTTTTGTTTTTTTTTTTTTTTTTATTGACGGAACTATATGGTTTAATGGAGGAGATAACGAAAGGTCGGTTTTGTCAATGGACAATCACGTCTTTGTGATTTATTCCCTTCATCTATACGGTGATTTAGCAACTTAGATGGGGCACAAGTTAGAAAGTGTGTAACACCCAGTCAGGATCGAACTGACTACTCGGTCGTAATTGATCTAGTGACACAAGCTAGTTAACCATAACACCACGTCCACGTGCACTCTTTTCCCCTATATATGTCTTGTTCCATCAATAAAGTCATCATTTAGCCTGAACGAATACTTTCGAAGAATGTAATGCGTCAGACTAGATTTTTCTTTCCATT